AGAGAGAGAGAGAGAGAGAGAGAGAGAGAGAGAGAGAGAGAGAGAGAGAGAGAGGACCATTTCTGCAAAGTATGAGGCCTCTGGCTCCGATTTCCTGTGGCCTTCTTACATGCTTGCCGGTGATAAGCAAGCGGACTGGTACACCCCGAATATAAAGGGGTTGCTAGGAGGGAAAAAGAAAAAGAAATTAAAATGATAGCACCACTGCCAAATTTCTGTGGGTACTTTTGGCTGGTGAGCTGTTTCGCGAGAGCTGAGGACATAGAGCTGCAGGGCAGCAGGCGGCCCTCATTGAAAAGACATTCATTCACAGACTTAAAAAGGAAAGCCCTCTGGGGGTGAAGCTCATCCCCTTCACCTCATTGACCATTATAGACAGCAAAAAGCATTCGCTGCCGAAATTTGTGTTCATCACCGCAACCATTCTATGGACTGAATTTGAACACTTTTCTGGTCGGGATCATTGCTAGTGCAAGCGCGCCCTAATAAAATGCTCATTCCTGACCCATTGTGATAGATACTGCCCCTAGGATATCGCTAAGATCCTGTTCAAGATAGCCATAACAATATTCGCACCCCTCACAAGCCTTTATGCTAGATAGTCGCCCTAGGTTCTGTCCCATAACGCCGGACATTGAGATATCCTGCAGTACTGTGCGCACGCTATATCCGTGAAAGCAGCTGCACTTCTTGTCAATATCGCTTCTGCACCACGGAAGCGCAGTTCATGAAAGTCACTGGGCAACCTCTGCACTCCTTTCTCCTTCGCTGCGGCACTGAACAGACAGGATATCTCTGAAAGCGCTTATATATAAAGTTATAAACCCTGTGAACCCATCTTAGAAATAACTGCCCGGCTCCAGACAGCATATCTGTGAAAAAAACTATAGACCCAAATGAGAAACAACCACACCTGATGGACTTTCTCAGGCTACCTTCTTCCCCCGAATACAACGTACGGTCATTATAGCTGTATTTGAGGCATCTTTCAGTCTAGATACAGCTATAATGGGCGTACGTTGTATTCGGGGCAGAAGAAGGTAGGACCACAACGATCTCAGGAGCCCCCTGAGTCCTGAAGAGAGAGAGGACACAAGCCAAAGCTGCGTGATGGTCCCAGTTCCCCCCGGGGGCATACTGTGAAGATGCCGGCCTCAATGTCCTTCCCAAGGAAGAGCCATGGTTTCATCAAAAGAAAGAAAGAAAGAAAGAGGGGGGGGAAAGAAACAGACTTCTTTTTTGCAGGAAAACTGCAAGAGTACTAAGTGTTTTTTTCGATGCAAAAATGGACATCCAAAGAGCGGCACATTTTGCAGAAAGGATGATTACCATTTTATTTATTTATTTATTTATTTTTATTTTTATTTTCCCCATCGCCATCCGTAAATCAGAGCCCCTGATTTCTGGACCAAACCAGGGGCAGGGGCTCTGATCAGGGGTAAAGTAGTGCCATATCTATTTTTATGTGCCATTTTGCATTTCCAGAATTTCGCTTTCTGTGAAGCTCGGATGCGGACCGAACCTAAGGAAAGAAAGTACATGTTTTCGCTTTCCAGAACGGAATCACGCTGTTAAAGAGAGTTCACATCCAATCCGCTTGGACGCGGCACAAAAGGATCAGTCTTGAAGCCCCACCCTTTCTGTGAAGCTCGCACTTGTACCTGCTGAACAGGTACTACAGTCTTCACCTGAATAGAACGCCCGGTCATTATAGCTGTGTATTAAATGTGTATTTGGCACAACTTTCGGTCCAGATGTGGCGATAATGACCGGCGGGCGTTCTATTCGGGTGAAGACGGTAGTCAAACGTGCCTCTTCCCAACAAGTGAGTGCCTACAGAGAAGTGCAGGCACAAGCACGTGTGAGTTGTGCAAGAGTCAAAATGTTTGAACCACCACTGCACCTCTGCACTGCAGAGGATCACCACGACGCAACAGAGGGCGAGGGCGATAACTAAGTAAGTTATAGGCCTATCGAGCCAGCGATTGATGGTGTCTACTGGCCTTCACTGTTAGGGTGGGTATCCATCCATAAGGGGACGCTGGACCTCTTTCCCAGCAAGCATTGTCCAACTTGTTCCCCACCAGTAGACTGTACCCATCCATAACGCTGTGCCTTTTCATCCTTTGCTCTCACCACCTCCCGTATAGAGGAGATGCAGCATGATGTATTTTTCGTTCAGAGAAACGAGAAAAAAAAAATGGCTGCACCTCCATCTTATCACCCAAGGAAGGAAGGGAGGCCATGAGATGTTTGAAAAAACAGCAATGGCCTACTCTGCGGGATTGAATGGGATTGGCAGTCACCCCACAGGCCCAACCCCACACCCCTCTGCAGGGGGTGGCCAAAGGGGTTCAATTAATTTTGCATAGGGTGGACTGATGGCTTGAGCAACTCAATTTCTTTCTGTCATTCTGAAGTGCTTAAGAAATACTTGTAGGCACAGTGCATGTGCTGTTCGCCTGAAGCATCAGCCATGCAGCACATCCATATTAGGGCAACGCAGCGCCTTCAAAGCCAAAGTAAAGTAGGCGGATTTGGCTGCTAGGCTGCATGTGCAGGCCCCGGACAATTCCTTTAAATTTGCTTTTCTTTTTCTTTCCTGAACAATTTCTCTGGTGATTGTAATGACTGACTGCACCCTACTCGGCGCCGTACGCAGTAATTTTACCAGGTCATTCTATTTGTATGCAGCTATTCTTTCACAGCGGGATCCTAGCCGAGCGGAACCTACCTGTATGCATTGCAGAGAGTGGGCCAGTGGTTAATCCAGACTGTACAAAGTCGTTTCCCTCAAGGGCCACACTCAGGGGGGCAGGCCCCACCGCTCATATCCAACCCCAGGTTCTCCGAAATTGACGGCTGATACGGTGAGTCGATGTTTCACCACGTGACTCTGACGGTCATTATTTCCCTACAAAGACCTAGACACTCGAGTGGGCCCACCACTCTGAAGAACTCTTCCATGGCCAAACTCGCAGAACGGACCCCTCCCCCATGCATCTGAGCTGAAATAGGCATCAGCATGTTCAGTGTGTAATGTCAGATGACGAAGCTTGAGGGCTATATGTCATTGCATTGCAGCAAGAATCTGTCTGTTATGGTCCTATGTCCAGCCATAGTTCCTCTGTGCCAGTTCGCTGCAGTCATCCAAGTCGGGAGTCTCTCTTTCTATCCTCCACCCATTTCCTTTATACCTGAATAATGACTGTGCACTGTGTACTTGTCTATTGTGTTTGTGAATCCCTCTTTAGGTATGACCGCATCATGCAAGTCCATTAACTTCACTCTCTAGGTATGGCTGCATCATCCGCGCACAATGTTTGTTCAGTCGCCGTTGGCTATGTAGGTCTTGATACCGCCACTGCTGCTGCGGACCTGTGCGCAGGCCGATGACTTCTCTGGCTTAAACCTCCAGTACACGGCCCCAGCCTTGCTGAAAAGAAAACTCCTCACCTACGAAAATTTTGGAGGCCTAGCGCCGTAGATAAATTTTATCGGCGGCGGGCAGCCTCCGACGAAAAGAGCCCCGCCGCCTATAGCTGGATGTACTGGTGGTGGGCCAAAAAAAGAAGGAAAAAAAAAAGGATGTACTGGTGGTTTAAACCACCATTACGTGTCCGAGCCTTTTTGTTTGACGCAGCAGTCAAATCACCACATCTAGTCGGGCTTGGTTTATCGGGTGAAAATGGCTGGCAATAAAAGCCCGAAAGAAAGGAAAAACAAAACTAGAGTGTGCCTACATCGCTTCGTTTCTTTTGGCGCAAGGCAGCAAAAGGACCCTTGGACGTAGTGGTTGGTTTAAAAAAAGTGAAAATTAAAAGAACAAAAGGGGGCCAGTGCCCCAAGGCTTTGATAATCAACAACATGTTATCAAATTGAAAAAGTAGACCTGTCTCACTGGATTTACTGCAGTGAGTGAACTGTGGTGAATGTTTGGTGGATTGGTCCGTTGATTGGGTGGTGTAAACACCAGTCCGAAATCAAGCTATTCCCATTAATTTTAACCCTCTGGCCTTTTATCAACCTAAGGGCCTGCCTGTGCCCAGTTCAATTCACTCACGATCAAATCATCCGCTCAAGGGTCTCAGTCATCATTTAGACTGCCCTAACTGCATCACAGTAATTGATTGGTTCAAACTTCAAATGCATTCTGCTGTCATCATCACCAGTCCGGGCCGTGATCCCCACTGTAACCGGGCAAGGCGCAGAAATCAACTGTCTCTTCAGACAAGAGAGGATGTTGCCAGCTTTGGGTGGTTCAGTGGGGGGAGAGATGGGAGGGCGGCTGGTCTAAAAGGATGACTTCAACTTTCCGTCCTTCAACACTTTTACTCTACCTGTTATCCGTCCTTGAGTCGATAATAGAACATAGAACGCGAGAAAAGGCCGAGGGATTGAACATAACCGCAAGAAGATATGACAGCACGTAAGAGGGAGAGAGAGGGAGAGGGAAAGGGAGAGAGAGGCACAGAGAGAGGGCGGAAGGGAGAGAGAGAGAGAGAGAGGGAGAGAGAGAGAGAGGCAGAAAGGGGGAGAGAGAGAGAGACAGACACAGACACTCACAGAGAGAGAGAGAGACAGAGAGAGAGAGAGAGAAAAGTGGAGACCTGGGCAACTCTTGGCATATTTTGCAATAGCACATTCTAACCTATCTGGCTGAGACGGCAACCAGATTCGGTAAAGAAGCTCATTGTGTGAGTATGCCCACAGAGGTGCTCTGGAGAGATGGGGGGTCATAAATAAGCATGAGTGGCAGTAAGAAACAGATCTGAGGGATCAAACAAAGGGTTCACAGTAAGTAGAGCAGACCTTAGACAGGCAGGAGCAACCTCGGGGTTCTTCTCTTTCGCCATAATTGACAGATGGCGGTGGCACAATGACCGGCCCTTGCTGCACAAAGTGAAAAAGGAAGGCAGCCAAGAACAAGATTACACTGTACTGTCATTGTCGTCACGAGCTGTCACCCGAACACTGTTGAACTAACGAGGACAAGCATTTCCTTTTGTTGTGTTTTTCTCCCATTTACAGAACGCAAAACCTTTAAACCACCAGAATCATCATGCATGCAAAGGCTGTCCTTCCAATCTACCGATCTGGCAGCTATCCATTCGATTCATCCAAAATGGTAAAACTTAGGTTTGACGTAATAGACGCCACACCACTTGTGGTTTGGCATCAACTTTTCAATCCTTCCCAGATTCCATCCGTCCTTTCCAGTTCCTTGTTCATGGTGCTTGCTCTTTTCTACTGGCTGTCTTCCTTCCCCCCCTCTCCACCCCCGGTCTCTCTCTCTCTCTCTCTCTCTCTCTCTCTCTCTCTACACACACACACACACACACACACACGAACACACACAGACCCCGTTTCTTATCTTTTATTCCGTTCTACCTGACACTGAGACAACGTACATATAAATACCAAATAGGGTTTATCCTCCAGCATAAATCTCCTTATCCCCGGGTTCGTCGCTTTCTCTGTTTCTGCTTACATATACATGCATATATGTATATGTATACATATGCATATATGTATATACAGGTATGGATAGGTGTATATATGGTCATGGAGAACTGCCTACAGTGAACCGTAGGCAGAGAGGGAGAAAAGGACAACAAACAAGGGTCTGTGACAGACTGCTTTGTCAGCATGTCACACACTCATCAGGAGGTTGAACATATATATCTATACAAATGTGTATTTACATGTGTACATGAAATTATCACCCCCCCTTAGTGGAAAGATGGCGGTTTTTCCCTTTTTTTCAAAAGAAAGAAARAAARAAAAARAWAACATATATATCTATACAAATGTTCATTTTTWCATGTGTAAGTGAAATAATCCCCCCCCCCCCCCCCCCCCCCCCCC